GGAGAGAATGCTTCAGTAGGCAACTGAAGCGATCACCCTGCTTTGGCTCATGTAGTGGGTTATTTGCATACACCAATGAGAGGTGTTGGGGAGCAGAGCCAGAGAAACTAGAAGGGAGAGGTGAGGCAGAGAAGAGGAGTTAGTTTCAGTCAGAGATGAGAGTCTGAAGTGAAAAGTTAGTCTGTGGGAGTTAGAGAGTGTGATAGAGTTAAGAGTTAAGGGAGGCAGTCAAGAGTGTGGAACTTAATAGAGAGTTAAGAGTGAAAGAAGTTATTACTAAGCTACTAAATACTTTAAAGTCTTTGAAGAACCTGTTTATGCAAACTGTAACCAATAAACCTGTTTGGTTCAACTTTACACTCAGAATGGACCTTAATCTTTCTAATTAAACATTGTTGACAGAGATCAATTGGTGGCAGCGTAAAGGAGGGAACGCGTTGTGGGCCTCAGGGTAGTGAAATAATCTGGAGACACGCAAGGGGCACATCACAGCAACACTTTAGTAAGGCTCTACCTGTGTTCTTATGAGGATGTTCTGGTGCTTCAGAGAAGGCTGGGAAAGAAGCTTTATTGATATTATTGTCCACTCTGGAATGGCCTGGTGATGAGGCACATTGAGGCAGCTGCCTCAGAGGATAATTGTGTTAGCTGTCCTAGCTATACTGTATCTCATGTGCCTTCCTGATATTTCTCCTGTGCCCTCAGTTATTCCCAGTCTTCTGTAACTGTACCTATTAGGTGAGGGGACTGCCATCTTAGCCTTTCCTTGAGGTGGCAAAATATTTTGGGAGAGCTCCTGGCTCTCCCCATCATCTGGATATTTTCCCAGTGATTGCTCACAAGCGTCACGCAAGGGACCACATTCCACATGAATTCAAACACTCATGTCAAGCAAGATCCTTTGTGTGAATCACACCTTCTAATGATTTTTCATTTTTATGTGTTTTTAACTGGATTTTTTCCCCTAAATTTCAACACGTTTTCAGACATAGTCCTTTCTATGCAAGCTGGCTTTCCAATCTATCTAACTACTGCTAAGGGCATTTAAGTGTTTTGCTAAGCATCAATGTGTAAATTCCCAGCCCGAGCAGAGGATTTGGCTGCAAGATCAGACACTTGGCAGTGCCAATAACTAACACGCTGGATTGTGTTTACATAGCAAACATACGCCAGAAAGGCAAGAGGAAGCAGGCCCACAGGGACATCATCCAATTTTTTCCAGGAGAAAGTTGACAGATGTCTTCGTAATGCCCTGTTCAGGAAGCTGAAGGAACAACATCATCTGCCTAAATAAGAAAACTGATTTCATTCCTGACAACTGCAAAAAAATATCCCAGTTGGAGTTTTCTTGGGGTTATGGTTCAACAAAGTACTGTACCATTTCTCATCTCTGATCATCCACTACGCAATTGCTGGCAGTAGACATTAATGCCTGTCCACTCGAACAGCAGATACGCCCTGACAATTCAGGTGGTATAGGTGAGAAATTAGCCATCAAATTACAGCTGCTTCTTCAGGCAATTACATAAACTTGACTCTTAAAGGCCAGATTTGTTTGAGACTCATCGTATTTCTAAATACCGCAGGAGCTAGGCTTTTGCTGACTGGCCTGCAATTAAATCCTCTGCCTCAGCATTTAGGAAGTTTTAATAAAGCTGTTGATTGCTCCAATGTGGGCAACAGGGCAGCGGGTCGGACAGTGCAGAATCCAGCAGGGTCAAAAAGGCAAGGAACTGGAGCAACCTTAATCTACGTAAGACTGACTCAACAAAATAAGCAAACTTTAGAGCCTTCATCTTTCACTTAAGTCTACTTGATTTGGGCCTTGGGACATAGTTAAATTCTGTTCTAGTTTTTTTTTTAAATAATAAAAATCAAATGGAAAGAACTTGATTTATTTGGAATAGAAAGCATTTGAAAATATAACAGTAATAGCAGCAGCAGGAGCAACAATGTAATATCCTTAAATGGGGGGAAAATCTAAAACTGATGAGATTTATTCAACTTGACCCAGAGTTTTTTGATACTTAAGTCTTCTCCCTTGTTTGTGCATAATTGCATTTGGTATTTAAAGCTACAATAAAACCATGTCAGCATTCAACCCCAACCCACACACTTGTCCCTAGCACGCTTAAAAGTCTGGATTAGAGCTCCAGAGTTCCTGTGTACTCATCCATATTAATTGCCAAAGTAGCCTTGTGCTCCCTCGCTCTCTACCTCCTGAGAGCTCCTTATTTTTAACACACGGCTGACATAGACAACATAGTTCTTGCTCTGCTGTGTACCTTCCAGATTTGGTCGTTCCATATAAGCAGAATTTTCAGTTCAGTTCATTACTGAAGAATTTGACAAAATTTCCACATAAAATGGAATGGAAGGAATCTGAAGTTTTTTTTTAAAGTGTGGGGGAAAACAAAGCTTTTCCCCGTTCCTCTTCCAGGCCTGATCTTGGATACTTTTTGAACAGTGAAGCCATGCTCTCAACCATAACAACCATGTTTGAAGATGCATGGAAAACGTAAAGGAAAACTAGTCAAACTATAGTTTTTCCAGTAGCGTTGTATGGAAGTGAGAGCTGGACCATAAAGAAGGCTGGCCGCCGAAGAATTGATGCTTTTGAATTGTGGCGCTGGAGGAGGCTCTTGAGAGGCCTTTGGACTGCAAGGAGAACAAACCTCTCCATTTTGCAGGAAACCAACCCTGAGTGCTCACTGGAAGAACAGATCCTGAAGCTGAGGCTCCAGTACTTTGGCCATCTCATGAGAAAACTCCCTGGAAAAGACCCTGATGTTGGGAAAGTGTGAGGGCAAGAGGAGAAGGGGCCGACAGAGGACAAGATGGTTGGACATTGTCATCGAAGCAACCAACATGAATTTTACCCAACTCCGGGAGGCAGTGGAAGATAGGAGGGCCTGGCCTGCTCTGGTCCATGGGGTCACAAAGAGTTGGACAGGACTTAATGACTAAACAACAACAAAAAATAATGAAGAAGCATGTATATGTTATCCCTGATGAGGTTTCACAAGGTTTGGCGGTAAAATGAGAGGCTTGACCACTTCTTAATTTCACCAGCTTGCCACTTCCTTATCATTTCTTTTCAGGGATCCTGCTGAGAGATGCTTCATCTTTTTTTCCTGCCTTCCCCCCCATCATGTCCCCATCTAGATTTGGTTTCAAAGACCATGTTTCTGTTTTGCTTTGTTTGCATCAGGAAAGGGGAAGAGTGACACACCCTCTGCCTTCAGATACTTCCCTTCAAATGACATCCAGCTATCTTATAAAAATATCAGGAAAGTGGTAATCCAGAAATCTGACACTTGTAAAACTAGACATTTATCAGCAAACTCAATGTATAACCTCCCCATTCCTTGGGACGACAAGTTGAAAATACTGACATCAGATTTAATAATCTCTAATTAAAACAAAATATTTGAACTACAGTAGCTAGTATTTTAAAATTACACACACATAAATCAGGGTCAAATTAGATAATATGCTTAACACATTTTTAGAAGAGGTGCTCTCTTAAGACAAAACATCAATTTGTCCTACCATGTGCTTGAGTTTAATGTGCTGTTTTGTAATTGGTCATTGGGAGGTAAATTAAGACTTAATTTGCAAATCTAACTGCCAAGGCAGATATCTTTGAGGGAGGGAGCACAAGGTTGATCAGAAGAAATGTTCATTCCCCTTATCTAGTTTGGTTATAATAGTGAACTAGTGAATTCCAGTTAGATTAGAGCCATCGAAAAATTGAAGAAGAGTGTCAGCATGCTTGATTTTAAGGATTACCAGCAAGAGCTGAAGTTGTGCAATGGTCAGAGAATACAGGTGTTAGTTGCAGAGGTAAGGGATAGAATGGGAGGAATACTGAACAAAATAAATCTCCACTGCAACGTTTTCTTACAGTTTGTGTGTGTGTGCATGCATGCGTGCGTGCGTGCGTGCGTGTGTGTGTGTGTGTGTGTGTGTGTGAGAGAGAGAGAGAGAGAGAGAGAGAGAGAGAGAGCCTTCAAGTTGCTTTTGATATATAATTATCCAATATGGAGCCCCATGGATACAAGTACAGTGATCCCCCAACCTTGAGCCTCCAGATGTTCTTGGACTTCAGTAAGTTATATCTACACACATTTAGAAACAAAAAAAGCAGAATACTGTAACAAACAAAATAATTCAAACTAACAAAACAAGTAAAAAAATTATAAAATATCTACACACACTTAGAAACAAAAAAGCAGAATAACATACAAAATAATTCAAACTAACAAAACAAGTAAAAAAATCAAAGTTTTAAATAGATAAATGTCCAAGCACGGTCAAGGTCAAGGCAGTAACAACCCACTGCATAATCAGAGGTTGGTATTTGTCTTTTGAACATTGTGCTTTTCTTTCTCTTCCTTCCCTTTTCTTTCTTTCTTTTTTGTCTTTCCTGCCTTCGTATGACTTATACGTAATAATAATAAGAAGAAGAAAAAGAGATGTGTCTTGATCCTCGTCCAGCATGCAAAGAGACTGAGGATGAGTCTCACCTCCAAAGAACTTCAGAGTTTGGAGAAAGCCCTTGCCCAGGATTCTGCAAGCAAGGGTGTCTTTCTTGAGTGATATTAATCAAAAGCATGGTCAGCCTGATACAGGCAGCCCCTTAGAAAGTAAGCCCCTAAGCCATTGAGAGCCATCAAGGTTGACATCAACAACCTAGCCCAGAAAATAATTGACAACCTGCAGGGAGGAAGGTGTAGTTCCATAGTAAAGCATAGCATATTCTTTTCAGGGAGAAGGTCCCGAACTCAAACCCTGCCGCTTCTGTGTAGGGATTTTGGGGGGGAGGAGGCTTGTGAATCAAACGCCACACCAGTCACCAATAGTCTGATTTAGAATAAGGCATTATCATACCCATAGAGGCGACCTCGCTTTCTGTGAAGAGGCATTTGAAGAGATCAGTGTGCGTTCTTGCTTTGCAGGCATGGAACCTGAGTAAACAAATGTTCTTCCTTTTTCAGGTCCTAAGCAACGAGAACACCTTAACGCTGAAAAACGTTCGCCAAGAAGATGCAGGGAAATATGTCTGCCGAGCAGTGGTTCCACGTGTGGGTGCAGGAGAAAGAGAAGTGTCCCTGACTGTCAATGGTATTTAACTTTGTCTCTAGAATCATGCCACTTTCATCTTTATTTTCTCATTCCAGCAACAGTTCCATTCCAGTAACAGAGCAAAGTCCATCTTTTAGACTACAGCTCCCAGAATGCTCGAGTGTTTCCACCTCTCTAATAGGGTCAAAAACCTGCTTTGTCTCAGACAGCAACATATCTTAAGCATAGCCCAATAGATTTTTACTGCCCGGAGTAAAAACTTAATAGTACTCTCCTCTCACTCCAAGTAGAAATTAGACCGAAAGGAGCTATCCATTGTGCTGAACCCCACACACACACCCAATGGATTTGGAGCGGTTATCTCCCTTAAAGTTCAAAGTACAGCCCAGAATAGGTTCATAGCCCCTGCAGAGTCAACAGCCTCCATTACACTGATGATGGAAAAGGGTCATTTGCTACACTTGAAGGCAACAGACAAACGACTAAGTTATTGGACAAGCTACAAAGCTCACTCCTCCAGCCCTTTGTTATTGCCTCCAGCATCTGCTGCCTATGTGACCGACAGCTACCTAATAGAAGATTCAGCCATGTGTCCAGGAAAAACAGCACAAATCTGGTAAAGGAATCCCCATCTCTCAATTCTTTATGTGATATCCTAAACTCTTTGGAGAGAAACATAGGGGACACCAGCTTCACAATTAGAAACTGAGCTCCCTTAAGAATTGAAGAGAGTTTCCTTTTCCTAGTCAGATGTTTTATACCTTTGCAAGCTGAAAATTCGCTTCCTTCTACTCTTTTATTCAGGAGATTAAGCAGGGATTGATTTGCAAGCTGATTGCACAGACATGAAAGCTTTCAAGGAGTGCATGTTGTGAAGGGACGGTCACTCTCGTATTGGCCTTCTCAACCACACTAGACGCTGTTCCAAGACCTCTATTCAGAGCACGTTACCATAGTCTCTCAAGAGTGAAGGATGCTTAGTGCCTATACTGTAAGGCAGTGGTCCCCAACCTTGGGAGCGCATGTTACCATAGTCTCCGGAGACTGAAGGATGCTTACTGCCTATACTGTAAGGGACAACATTTTATCACCTTCTGATTGTGAATGTGTTTAAAAGATTGTCCTTACAAAGACAATTAAACACTTTGACATTCACCATCTTGTCTGTTTCGGCTCTGAGTGCCACACAGTATAAAGAAAGAGGAAAGCTTTTCCTACAAGCATAGGAAATGATGGAATTGTTCTTATTTCTACCCCTGTTCTGCAAGCTTCCTTCCCCTGTGCTAACCAAGCCTGAAGCAGACCAAGTCAATACTTCTTCTGTCAACCATTTGGCACAGTTCAATTCTAAATGCAGATAACGCTGAAGAAAGAAGCCAAAGGCAACTCATCAGGTCAATTGGAAAAAAAAAATAACACCCCTTCTCTTTACTCAACGCCTCTTTGCTGGTATTTCCCTATACCTCTCTGTTGGCTGCTACAATTTGATTAGAGTTCGAATAGCTTGCAGAAAACAAAATAAAGGCATTTAATGAAAACAAAGAACCTTCCTACACACACACGCACACCTGACGTCTCCCTTCTCTGCTCTTCCAGCACCTCAAGCCATGATACTCAGGCACCTTTCAAAGCAGGCAAGGTGGGGAATGGTACCCTGCAGCTCCAGAAAGACAAGCCAATTTTAATATAACAGAAACTAGCAAGAGAGCAAAGGAAAGCAGGGCCGGCTATAGAATTACTAGCTTTTGCTTTCTTGAGTTTTCAGAGCAACTGAGATGTTGATAAATCAAAACAGAAACAAGCGTGCAGAAGGGAAAATGTATCAGTCACATTTGTCCCCTGATAATGTTGAGAATCAATGCTTTATATCAATTGCTATGGTTGGTATTGCAAACTGAGCCCATTTTGTACAGAACTGGAATTGAAAGGATCCTTATTATGAGCACAATACTTTCAATCCATGTTAGATCGATAAGTCAGGAGATGGGAGGGAGGTGAAGGCTCAGTAGATACTTGGGCTGGGGAGCGCCAGAGGAGATTAAGAAGGTAGGAAGATGCCTCAAGCAGAATCAATTCATTGGTCCACCTGATTCAGTGATGTTGACATTGACTGTCCATGGCTTTTTGGGGGTTCTGACAGGATTCTTTTCTTAGCCTCACCTGAAGATGCTATGCTATTCAACCAGTGAGCTGTCTCCCTGAGTCCCAGACTCTCCATTGTCCAACACCTAATGTCTCCTGGTGGTCTCCCATGCAAGATATAAGACTTGCCCATTTCAACCCATGCAATCGTATCTGATTTTGGAAGTCAGTCTCTCTCTGTGTCTAAACCACCAGGAAATATAAAGTCTCTCCAAGCAGGGCTAGAAAAAGGTAGATGATCCTGTGTACTAAATAGGTCCAGCCCTACTCAGCACTGGAGCAGGAGACCACCAGGGAATGTCAGGGATCTTGTGGTAATACTAGGAAAGGAACCTGCTGGGACCCCCGTCAGCCACTACCAGACACAGCTGATGAAATTGAGCTAGATGGAACAATAGTATGACTTGATATAAGACAGATCCCAATGTTCCTGCACTGCCCAGTAGCAGATGGTGTGATGGGAGCTAACTGCGAGTCAGAGCAGACAATAGTAGTCTAGATGGACAAACCTTTCCTCTTGGAATGAAGCAGCTTTGTATAGTTCTTGAGTGTAAAGTAGAGATGGGGACAAATTTTAAAAATGGCGATTCATTTTGATCCGTTATTTGTCAGGGTTAATGGATCAACGGATACAAATATTCTTCGACAAATCGACGAATCAAACCGTTGATTCATCTGCACTTTAAATGGCTATAACACTGGCCCCCGATGACCTAGAGACACCAAATTTGCAGGGAAGCTTCCTCGGATGCTTTCCTACAACTCCTGAAAGCCTGGTGAACATTGGACCATGGGCCCCCAAGTTATATAGTCACAAAGAGGAGTTATTCTGAGTTATTCACCCACAAATTGGGTCCCCCCCCCCAGGAGAGTTTACCACACAGCACAGAAGCCCATTCTGCCTACCAGCCGCCGATCATCTGATCAGAAGCCGATAGGCAGCTACACATACACACACAGCCAACCACCCCAACAGCTTACCCCCACAACCCCTTCCATTCCCTACCTTAGCCCCCATCCCAATCCCACCAATACCCCCTTACCTTAATAGCTGCTGCCAGGTCTCCATCAGGCCTTTGCAACCATGGCATGTAAAAAGGCAGGCTAAGGGAATCCGGGCTGCCCTTTGCAAAGATGGCAGCTGCAGCTTCCCTACCCTAAATGAAGCTGCAGCCACCATCTTTGCAAAGGGCAGCCAGTCTCCATTTTTACATGCGTGGCTCCGAGGCCAGAAGACCTCGGCAGCAGCGATTAAGGTAAGAGGGTATCGGGGGGTGGCCGGGGGGCCTAAGGTAGGGAGAGGAAGGGGGTGTGGGGTAGGCTGTGGTATTGGATGGCTGTGTGGGGTGGTGGGTGCCTTTCTGCCGCCAATCAGATGATCGGCACCTGGTAGGCAGAATGGTGGGTTTGTGTGTGTGTGTGTGTGTGTGTGTGTTTAATACAAAGGACAAGTAAAAACAGGTAAATATTCATCCCTTCGTATCCATGGGTGTCTCTGGAACCCACAAATATGGATCAACGAATATTTAACGAATCAGCTATATTTGTTGGAAAAACCGATCCGTTTTTATATTCATCCCCATATCTAGTGTAAAGTATTCCCAAGGCTCGCTCTTGCTTAAAATCAGAAGAAGTGCTCAAATCAGAGCAAGCTGCCTATGTGGCCCTTCTTGCTGACTCTGCTAGTGGCCTTTCCAGTCCAGTAACATGGGAGGGGGAAGGTTTTCACCTATTTCCCATCCCTGTACTTTGAAACTAATCTACCTTACACCTTTCCCCATTTCTCTAAGAAGAATTCTTCCCCTTCAACAATTTCCAAGTGTTGTTTCTTTCTTTTGGCTAGAGAGGATATTTAATCCTCAACTATCAACTCAATCAATTAGGGTGATCCATTTACTTGAGTATGGTAAATCCTCTCACCAAATGGAAATAAAATCAGCTTCAGCATCTTACAAGAAAAACCTTTTCTACTGTGACTTCCGTAAATCCTGATAAAGAGTGTGAGGGAGAAAAAAAAAATCTAGATGCCTCCCTGTTGTGCAGGGCAGATGTTATCGGGTGCCAGACCCTCACCAATGTAATAATAAGGATAAATGACCAATTGCCTGGTAGGGATGATACAGCACAAACCAATTTGCTGCAGCTAATCTTGTCAAGCAGTCCCTGTATTGAAAATTCTTCTTTTTCATTTAAAAAAAAAAATCCCAAACACCAGACAATGGTATTAACAAAAGGAATTGTGATCGTATCACCAAGCAAACCAGGTTACTGTCTTAGAGTTGGGAGCTGCCCTGCGAGATCGGAAATAACCATTTGACTGGCAGGAACAAAGTCACTTTATCTGCAACAGTCCTAGCCCAGTCATTACTTCATTTTATTTTATTTTTTAAAAGCCACCTCCATCTTGAGCAAGACCTGCGATATGAAAAGTGCTTATTAAATTCCTCATTCGTCTCAATTCAGACTGTCTCAGAGAAATCAGACACCTTGATGAGAAACTTGCTTTTGCAAGACTTGTCGCCGAGAAATATGTGAGGGGGTTTTACCCATCAAGATCTTTGTAATTTGTGCAGATTGGCTCTGCACACAGTTAGTGTCCTTTCCCTTGGAGAAACAAAGTGCATGCATGCACAAAAAAAACGTAAAATGAATGGCTGATCTTTCAAAAAAGATGAAAATAACCCATTCCATGCTTCTTATCTCCAAAAGTCCATCAGGAGAGGTCTTTCCCTCAGTCCCATCACCCTCAGAGGCACACTTTGTGGGGACACAGGAGAGGTCCTTCTCTGTTGCTGCTTCCAGACTCTGGAACTCCTTCCCACTGGAAGCCAACTGGCCCCATCTTTGTTGTCCTTCCGCAAGCAGACAGAGACATTTCTCTTCAGGCAGACCTTTCT